GAAGTGGGTAGTGGAATGGTGATATTACAAACCGGCCAGGACTCAGAGATATTATCAAAGTTTCCTATTCCTGCCCACAGAGGAAATTCCTGCTGATCTGTCTTAGTTAGGCAATTATCAGTTCCTCATATCTGACCCTACAACAGGGCAGTTCTCTCAGATCTATCTCTGACATACCAGTTTACAGAGCAATCAGTCTAAAAGACACAGTGGAGATAAAAACTACCCCAGGAGAAGAGTATACTTACTGGGCTAGTTTTCTACACTCTCAAGAAGCCTCAAAGAGGGGGCACCTGGGTGGCTTAGTCGGTTAAGCGTCTGACTCTTGATTTCAGCTCGGGTCATGATCTCAGGGTCATGGGATTGAGCCCCACATTGGGCTGCACACTCAGTGAAGAGTCTGCTTGAGATTCTCTCTCTCTCCCTCTCCCTCTGCCCCTCCCCACATTCATGCTCTCTCTCCCTCTCTCCAATAAATATATAAATCTCTAAATAAAGTAAAATAATTTTTAAAAAAGAGAGAAGAAGCCTCAATGAGTACTTGGGTATGAAGCCAACAGATTTCAGGGTCCTAGCACTTAAGCCACAGGTTTGTAACCCAGCAGCGGACTTCTGGTGGAACTTAATGTATACACTGCTCTGTGGGGAGCCTGCTTCTCCCTCTCCCTCTGCCTGCCACTCCTCCTGCTTGTGCTCGCTCGCTCTCTCCCTGTCAAATAAATAAAATCTTTAAAAAACAACTACCGGGGCACCTGGGTGGATCAGTCGTTAAGCGTCTGCCTTTGGCTCAGGTCATGATCCCAGGGTCCCGAGATCGGGCCCCACATCGGGCTCCCTGCTTCTCCCTCTTCCACTCCTCCTGCTTGTGTTCCCTCTCTCACTGTGTCTCTCTCTGTCAAATAAATAAATAAAATCTTTAAAAAAAAAAAAAAACAACTACCAAACTCTACAACCAGAGGGAAGCCTGGGTGGCTAGGCTGGGTAAGTGTCTGCCTTCGGCTCAGGTCCTGGGATGGAGTCCCGCATCAGGCTCTTTGCTCAGCGAGGAGCCTGCTTCTCCCTCTGCCTGCCATTCCCCCTGCTTGTGCTCTCTCTCTCTCTGACAAATAAAATCTTTTTTTAAAAATTAAAATAATAATAAATAATAAAATAAATAAATAAATAATAAAAAAATAATAAAAAAAACTCTACCCCCAGAGCTTCTGATTCCATATAGCTAGGATGGGGCCCAGGAATGTGTATTTTTAAAAAGCTGCCAAAGTATTCTATCTCACTGCTGTCCTGACTTCTCTCCCAAGTCGAGAGCCATCAAGCTTAAGCCAATGATCCATACATAAATGCTTTGGAAATGAATATGCTTTCCCACTACCAAATAGGCAGATTAAAGAGTCTCAGTACTAATACCTGGACTCAAACACTGAGCAAAAATTGCAATTAGATTATTGCCAGTTTTTTCTCTTCCATGAAAATCCCCTACACAAACTCTTCTTAGAGCCACATATTAAAAGGCTCAAAGCACCACCATATAACCAGACATGAGAAAACTTGGGGAAAAAATGAGAGAGAGAAAAAGAGAGAGAATGCATTAGACTTGTATCCATAAAAACTGAGAACTAGAAGAAAGCTACAAGTCATCTTACCCATTGTTTCCAGAAGAATAATACATAACCCAGATTGGACAAATGGCTATTAAGGAGGAGGAGGATTTCAAAACCTCTTCATTTACTTTTTCAAAATCTAACTCTCCAGCACAGGCAATCCTTTTGTATCCCTAATTTACATCGTGCCTACTCGGCTTCATTCCATTTCTGTCCTTTGTTAAAATAGAAAAATGACCCAGCTCCCTCCACATAAAAATCTTCCAGAAACTTTAAGAAAAGAGGGGGAGGGCTAGCTACACAGAGCACACACATGCTTAAGGAAAACACAGCCTCAGCTGAACGGCAGAACTGACAACTGTACAGAATTTGCAGTTGAAGGGTGTTTACAACTGATAACTTTGAGTTACACTTCATCAAGACTCAGATCTGGCAATAAAATCTCAAATTACTCTTTGCTAATTCTATCTCACTGCAGAGACTCCCTCCCTTAGAGAAAGTTCAATACAAATCCTAGCTCTCAATTACCCATTTCTCAATCAAGACTCTCAATCCCCATTTCTACTTGGCTCTCATTCCAGCTTTTAACCATATGTCAACTGTATTTTTAACTAAGTCTCTCCTGAGTTAAAAAGTCTTTAATGAGCACTGCTTTCTGCATTTATGCACTTTCCCTTCTCACTTGTGCCCTTCACACCTAATGAGGCTGGCTACATCTCTACTTCTTTTTCAATATCTTATTATTCCTAATTTCAATTTTTCTTTAAAGACATCACCAAACTCCTCCTGATTATCTCCTATTCTTCTGGAATTCCAAGTGTATCCCCACTAATTCTGACATCATTAAAGTGTTTTCATTCATTTATTCACTTAGGATTTACTGCACACCTTACACTATACTAAACAGTGCGATGTAAAAGAAATAAAGAACATGACCCCCCTGGCCTTAGGAAATGAAGACATACGTAAAAGAACAATTAGAGATTGGTTCTAAGGTAGTGGGGCTACTCAGAGAAGTCCCTGAGACTCCAGTAAATACAGAGCTGTATGTAAAAGTAAGGGGAGAATTTGGTGAAAAGGCTACTTTAGACAGGGGGAACAGTATGACTCAAAGCAGCAAGCCATCTCAGGTAAGAGCTGCACAAAGGCCCTCTGTCACTTCCTTCTTTGCCACCCCCCCTCCCATCCTCAAAGGCATATGTCTTTTGGTCTTCAAATTTTATTTCAGAGTTAGTTATCCGTGAATTACAAGCTTTCTGATTGTTACCATGATAACCCACAGCTACCGCATATTAGAGCAGCTCACAAAGCTTTATACATCAGGTCCTATGTGAATTACTACAGGGCAGGCTTTTAGAATCATCTTAAGTCGAGACTTCAATAAGGAGTGTGGGGAATCAGGCATCTGTAGGGTCCCAGGCACACAAAGACAGCAATTACTTTTGGGTGCTAAAGATAGACACCACACTCTTGCTCTGTCGGACTACTCAAGGGTCATTCAACTTCAGCTAAGTATTTCCTTCATTCACAGCTCTAGGACAAACAAAGCCATTTAAAGCAGTCTGAAACACTGAATTTCTATTTGAAACAGGGATGTTTAATGGTGATGCCACTGGGATGCTCTTTTTCACTGTTTTCCTCTCGAGCTTTTCCTCTTCTCTTGCCTCAGGACTCACAGTTCAAGCATCCCTACCTCTGTGAAGTCTTTCCTAATTCCCCTAAGCTGACTTAGGTTCCCTTCCCTGTGCCGCCCTTAAGACCTTTATGCTTACTTCTAGAACAGCACTTAACATACCAAGTTGTAATTATTTGTTTATATATAATATGACTAGCTACAAGCTCTTTGATGGCAAGGATGTTTTATTCATCACTGATTCCATACATAACAGGCACACAATTAACATTTGTTGAGTCCATTAATGATGAGTGATATGGGAAGTTTTAAAGAATGGTGGACTGCACCTTCTGGATCCAGACCAAAATTACAGTATTAACACTGAAGAATAAACTCCCATTACACATTTCTACTACCTATAGCATTCGTGGTCAGAAAAAGAAGCCAAAACAGATGAGACGATTGCTCTAGTAGTGGTGGTCACTGTCAAGTTACCAGCCAAGAGTAAGAGAGCTTGCAGTACTAAGAATGATCCAACACAGTAAATGAGTGAAGAGAGTCAAATCTAAGACAGTTTCTAAGTTCCAGGCTCATTCTCCTACCTCTGGAGAATATGAACAATGAACTCCTATTAGAGTCCTTAGAAAGGTCACCAACGCCACTGCCATGGAACCTTGTGGCCAATTTCAATTCAATATGATCTCTGCTGAAATACACAGGAAGGCTGTTCTCCTTCTGACCACATCCAAGTAAGGTTCTGTTAAAGGACAGAGATCTGAACCAAGTCCTCCCAGAATCCTTCCATGTTGCACATGAGCACTCTAAGTCACTACTCATTGGCTCTACTCATCCTCTGAAGAGATACAGGCAAGGCAATAAAATGCTGCTGTCTCCAGTGTCTCTCCCTGTAGCAATCCTGGACTGCACAAGGCTACTGTGTTTATAGGCTGCTAATATGACACAAAAATCTAATCTGATTCTGTGGGAACAAAACCCTAGATTCTTTCAGGGATTAAATAAATTTGGTCTGCTTTTGTATTCCCAAAGTTGTGGGGGCTCAACGAAGTTGAAGAAAGCATAAAGACCAACACCCAGGCAAGTGAGGGGATGGAAAGGGACTGGCCTCTGAGGAACTTGTGCAGCAGGGTGGCACAGAGTGAGTAAGACAGGCAGTGTTCAAGGACAAACCAGGAGGACTGTTTTGCTAGCAGATACCTGGCTCCTTGCATGTTATCATTCCTAAGCATCCAAGAGACTCCAGTTAAATTAATTTAGGCTTCTGGAAGAGACAAATAAATTTGTTTTGACCCCAGGCAAAAGCATTTAGCAAGTCAATTCCTCAAACTAGGTATTCTTTCTGCTACTACTGTCTTGCATAACCTCAGCTGTGACACTAAAACCTGCAGCTATATTAGTCACAACTTAGCCCTTCACAGGGTATGTGGTCCCACTACCTCATCCAAAATGGGAAACTGAGTCATCGCTTATGAACTGGCTTCCCCAAGCACAGTCTTAGTTTGTAGTGAAGCCAAAACTGAATCCAGGTTGCCTTCCTCCTATTCTTTTTCACGGAGAAATCTCGGCATGCTCACTCCTGCTGCTCTTTTTCCTTTAACCTAAAATTAAATCATTGCTTCCTTGAGGCGCAGAGATGGCACACTTGATCCTTTAGAGCCAACAAGAGCTTCTGGTTCTTCTCTTTCCCGAGAAAGAGGAAGGTGAAAGAAGAACACGGAACAGAAGTGAGGGACGGTGGGAAACGAGTGCCTCCCAATACTAGGACTCACCTTGGAGCTGAGGTCCTCTCGCCGGTTTCCTGCCTTACTCCTGCGTAATTTGATGGATGGGGATCGCAGCAGGTTCTTGATCCGGCTGGTAATAGTTGACCCTTCCACAGCCATCATGATGAGGAGCCCCGGGGGACAGTTCCTGGCCCAGTCTTGGAACTTGTCTCAAAAGGGGCACTGCCTTCCCACTCCACAGGTCCTTCCAGTATGCCCTCCCACTGACCTAAGATGGCAGAGGCCACCTTATCTTCTGCCTAGCCGTGTCTGCAGCTTTTATCTCTAGGCATTACCCTCTCCCTTCTCCTCGTACCTGCCTTCAAGCCCTGCGCGGTTTCTTACGTCTGAAGGACAAACCCATGAAAAAGAGGGGGGGAAAAGCCAGAGCTGCAGAGAAATACCAGGCCCACGCCTGCCAGAGACGTTCAGCCAGAGGGATGGGATTGGCCCTGGTAGGGCTTGTGGTTGGTCTGGTCCCCGTTAATTCCCAACTGTTCCCATGGCAACTGCAGTGTCTAAAGAAGGAGGCCGCCGAGGCCACCGAGGAGTCCCGCCCGGGGCTTGGACACCTGAGCTGGCGGCCGCAGGGACATTCGGCGCGGCGGGGCTCGCTGTGGCCCGGCAACCCGTTCTGCCACGGGAGCCTCCCTCCCCCACCCTCGACCCTCGGGAGCTCGCTCTCGGCCCTCCGCAGGGGCCCTGGACCCTTCTCTTTCACCTCCCTCAGCAGCCCCAGCAACTCGCTAGCGCCCCCGCTCGGGCCCAGCCTCACCAGCCCCAGGGCGCGGGAGGCACCCCGCTCACAGCGCCCTCAGGCATCGCGCTCGGCGATTTCGGCTCCGCAGCAGCAGCGGCGGCAGCAGCAGCTATGGTGGCACGAGCGGCTCAAAACGCGAACTACCGCCTGGGCCAAGCTACGGGCTGGTGAGGCGGAGCCCAGGCGAGGGGGTGCGGTCTGTAACCAGGAGGGCGTTCTGAGAGTGGACCAGTAAGGCTTATGGAGGCGGAGCCAATGAAAGGGCCTAGGAAGCAGAGATGGGACTCGAAAACTAAGGGTTCCGCACAGTGCAGTCGCGGGGAGCGCTCCTAAAGGAAGGTCAACAGAACATAGCTTCAGAATTGGGAGAACCAGCCTTTTATGGTATTATCAGGCCCGGTCCTCCGGAGAAGTGCACTTCCCAGAGCCCCAACAAGCCGGTAACCACGCCCCCAGGGTGCAGCGGTTGGCATTTGATAGGCCCGAGGGACCTTAGCCAAAACTAACTCCTAGCTCACAATTACAAGGTTGAGGTAAAGCTATAAGGCTCTGCTCCCATCGACCCCAAGAGCTGGGATTTAAAGCGGTTTGAATCGTTTCTGCTCGCCGCCTCCCCGGCGCTTTGACCTACGTGAAATGACTCCCCTGAGTAACTCTTTAGATCGGTAACAAGTGTTTTGAACTGGGCAACCTGATTGGCCGTGATCGAAAAAGGGGCGGGAGATGATAGCCAAGAACTGAGTTTAGGTGTGTGAGGGAAGGGAGAGAAGTGAATGCTCCTAAAATACATTTGTTTCCTTTAGGCTCCGATATCCCACCGCACTCTCTCCCCTAGAGTTGACAGGATTTTGTTGATCCAGATCTTTTCCTTGTTTCTGTCAAAATTTACTCTTTTCCCTAGTATCGTCACTTTGCCGAGGTCACCGTCAAACTTGCCGGCACTAGACTTAGTGGTGTGGTTTTTCTAGTTCATTGTGGGGGGAGAGAAGTGGCGCGCGCGCATACTACTTCTTACGTGTCTCGGCCTGTTTGTTTTCTAGAAGTCCTTTGGCCTCGTTGCTACTTCAAGATTGCCTATGAAAAGGTTAACGTAAGCCAAAAGACTTGGACCCCAGACAAAGCGTAGTCTGTTATGTATAGTCTGTCTCACCCTATCCAAATCTTTGGAACCCCTGGGGGACACAACGCGTTAGCAAAACGGAAGGACCCCTAAACCCACTGCTGTGGGTGCGCCTTGTACAGCCATTTGGCAAAAGAGGTATGTATGTACTTGTATGTATTGCAGCCATGTATTGTAAAGTAGGATCTGCAAAGCCCACGTTGAAACAAAGATCTGGCAAGTCACCTCCTAGACGATTAACTGGCAATGGCTACCAGAAGCATGAGGCTTCCTTCTCTTCCACCCAATGGAGACATAAAGCAACATAAAATGGGATTTTCCATTTATTTCTCAAATCTGAAGGAAGGAGGCAAGGGTCAGCCACAGAGTATGAAATGGAAAGTTGGTTCCTTCAATTCCTTGCTACTCTATTTTACCTCTATGGGGGAGAGAGGGAGGAGTGAATGTAATACTAATAAATGGGGGCGCCTGGGTGGCTCAGTCGTTAAGCATCTGCCTTCCGCTCAGGTCATGATCCCAGTGTCCTGGGATCGAGTCCCACATCGGGCTCCCTGCTCGGCGGGAGGCCTGCTTCTCCCTCTCCCACTCCCCGTCCTTGTGTTCCCTCTCTCGCTGTGTCTCTGTCAAATAAATAAAATCTTAAAAAAAAAAAAAAAAAAACTTATAAAAAAAATACTAATGGTGCCACCTGCTGTCTTTACTTGTGTGCTACATGCCCCAGCAACTGCCACCTCCACCCTCAAGAGTTGTCCCTAATTCTCTCTGCATCATTTTTGTGTCCACTAGTGGTTTTCTCACATCACTTGTGGCCAGGTCGGTAAGGTTACAAAGTGTCATTGGTCATTTCCCGTCCAGAGTTAGCCTGGTTTATCCCCTCAGACACGTTTCCCAAATTAATTTGAAGCTGAAGCTGTAGAGACAAATCCAAGCTCCTTTCATTGTCTAAAATCATCTAGCTGAAAGACTGAGAACAGTGTAATGAGATATTCTAAGTCTAGAATCTGCATACTTTGTCTAAGGCCAACCATGTATTTTTAATTCTTCACCATTTAATCCATTCATTGTCTAGATATCATGCAGCTTTTGAATTGTCAATATGGGAATAGGCTGTAGGCTGTTCCCATGCTTCATGAATTAATTCCTCATAAAATAGTAATCCTAGGTCTAGCATGAATAAAAGCGCTATCCCTTTCTCCAAACTAACTGCCAACCCACCCTCCAAATGCAGTTGACCCTTACATAAGTATTTCACCATCCATACATTATTTCACTTTTTATTCTGCTTGTATATGTCCTAAACATACATGGTTGTCAGATTCTAAAATTGTAGATGTCTAGGAATAGATGCATACAATTTTGCACTATGCTCATTAGATCAGATTTTAAAATTCACCCTAGGCTTAACATGCAAAAAGGTGCAATTATAAGATCCTGGAAAACTAACAGGCTGGAGTAAACATTTGCTCATCAGTTCAAATATTTATTGAGCACCTTTACATGCAAGGCACTGTGGGACAGCTGAGATCAATGCTTGCAGTTGGAAACAGGATGGATCCCAAAACAATGCTTCCAAGACTGCTTTCCTACTTAACAAAATCTCTTCTAACAGCAGAGTTTGCAATGATAGAAGAATTTAGTAGAGCTTAGATTTGTCTCAAAATACCCAACTCATTCCATGGTTTAGCCTTCTCACCTTCCACATACGCCTCCATCACACTATTATTCAACACATATTATTATCTCTGTAGAGCAGTTCAGTCATACTTAATATACTGCAACCATGCCTCAGTTCAGAATGTTTGTATCAAATTATTCCCCTTAGTTTTAAAAATACATTTATTTTTGAATGATCTTTTTTCTCCAAATGGCAGTCTGTATACCTCAGCTTTAATTTTCTCTGTATCCAGCCATTCATGTTCATGTAAAATTTGATTAGAGATAATACAGTAACATGAAGATTTGATGTCCTTATAAGGATTTTCTTCAAAATCAACAATTATGTGCCAGAAATGTATTCAGATTCTTGGTTATCCATCATTCTCTATAAAGTACCTGAAAATGTGTTGCCTACTCTATGCATTGTTTTTTAATCCAGATGTGAGGAACAAGGGTTATCACCATTTTTCAGACCCGTCTTCAAAGTGCATTTACCTCTCAATTCACCTGATCCCATTCAATTATCTTAACCAGTATAATTAAAAGAAAAACAAAACAAAAAACACATTACTGAACACTGCCCCAAATTATGTATGGATTATCTGCCTTTCATCTGTGTTCAAAACATTTCAAACTTGTTACAGAAGGGCCTGTCAGGTATTTCATCCACAGTTCCGGGGGGGGGGGGGGACCTGAATTTATTACACATTTACCCAAAGTAATTTGCATGAAGTTCATAATACACAGACTTCATCTGTTAGTGATCTTAGTTTCAATGTCTAAAGGACTCCTTTAATAAAATGTTTTGTAAATCTTGATACTAGTTAACATGTACCTTGTTTTAAGAACATTTATTGTCCTTAGCCCCTGAGACTGTGTTAACGTCCCGTTATTCTCTAAGGTAACTGACATATTACCTTGCATACATTAGTATTATGAGGCTAGCCTTTCTTCACTGTAGAACTTCTTGAGACAAACACCTGCTGTCAATTTATGCAAAATTTTGAAGTCTCCATGTAAAACATGCTACAATTAGCAAAAATCTCCCCTAGATGGCATGTCAGAAACTTTGAAAACAGTACGGAATTCCTATGATAAAACTTCAGTGGCACCTCTCTCAAATGACTCAAGGGCATTAGACTGCTCTGCTCCAACTCAGCACAAACCTCCCAACACCAAATCCTGCTTTAATTATTATAACTGATTTATTTCAAGTTTATACATTCTGCCTTCCACTCACCAAACTTCTGTTCTTACATTTCTAAAAAAATAGTCATTTTTCAAAAGCAGAAAAGGAAAGATATATATTTAATATATAAAAGAAAAGGCTAAATCTGACATAATTATATTCTTAAAAACATTCCATTTATTTACAGATGTATAAAAAGGCGAATTATTGGTCTACTGAGATCATGCTTCTTATAGTGTTAGGGGGAGAACTCACTATCCTCCCAATTCCTCAACTCCTCTCACTCAACTACATCTTTCATAATCACACATGTCATTTTCATAGATCAGTTTCTCCTGGGGTAAGGTTAAAAGGAAGGAGTTTTTGGAGATTTGAGATTTCTGTCATGACTGCAGGAGTGTTGTGAAGACTGAGCCCTCCAAATTAGCCCTCACAACTTACTAGTTCTAAGAGGTCTTGAAAACACCATTATCTTGGGAGTTTGTAAAGACATCTGCAGCCTTCCTTAAACACCTGGAATCATCTCTCATTTCCATCTTTGTACATCTCTCATGTCAACTATCTTCCCATCAAAAACTGATTATTACCTGTTAATCTATTTTCTTCTAAAAAAGGGAACAGTGTTCAGAAGCAGAATGGTCCTTCTTTTCCTGAGGATTATTCAACTAACTTGCCTTCTCCTTTGGCTGACCCTCAAAAGCCATAACAAGAGCCTTGGGAAGTCAGGAGGAAATTTGAGGACTAGACAAGCAAGTTAATAATGGGAAACTGCTATACCTGGATTAAAGTACTAGGATCTCCAAGGACAATTATTAGCAGGGGAGACAGGTGCTGGACTCCTTGGCTAAGGCATTGAATGAAATCTGCTGGGTAAAGAGGAGAGGGAGGGATAATGAGAAGCTGAGGGGCACTCATTACCTACTTCAAGCTTCTTCAAAAACCTTTAAAGGAGGGAAGGTTGAATGCTGATGAGCAGGTCTAGAAAGGCAAGTAACACAAAACCAACAAAGAATTTGCTCTCACTGCAATTTGCAGAGGAAATTTTTCCACTCTTTTTCAATCTGCTGATTACCAGAGTTACTAGAAAGGGAACCAACCATGGAAGTACTAATTCACTGGCTAGAACCATTCCAAAGCTGGTCTCACAACCTATGTCTGAAGATATGCTGAGTGGGATTTGGCATAAAGAAGGCAAAGGGGGGTGGGGGAGGGGGAGAATGCAGAAGAAATAGCATCACCTAGGCACAGCCCAGGCACTGGAAGCTCTTGTGTTAGTGTTTCACAACACAAGCAAATCCTGTCAATGAAGACAGAACAGGGGTTACATTCCAAAATATAATTATTTAAGAAAGGCAAAATGCAGCAGCTAAATCCCAATCTATACATTTTCAGAATAGTGATTCTTGCCCCCAGGAGTTTCCAAGAGACCCCTCAAGTGCACCATGATTATTTACAAACTAGATAGGAAACGTCATTTCTATACTCAATACAAATCTCATCTTCTAGGTTGAAAACTTCAGCCTTTGAGAAATCTATGAAAACAACTATACAAAAATATAAATATCTTTATCTTTACAGGCTGTCAGTCCTTCATACCCTGACAGCTAATGAGTGAAAAAGCTCTACAGATCATTGAATCCATGGTAGCAGATAATAAAAAATATATCTCGTGATTCAAATACTGCCTCATTTCCCTGGTAAAGAGTGCCTACTGTGACTTTTCTTTTCTTTACATCCTGTGCAGGTAATAGTGAATGAAACCTTCAAGCACCAGGAGGCTGGTTTGATTTGGGAAACATCCAGCCCCACAATTTTTTGTTTTGGCCACTGTCTCTGGTCTGGGCAGGGAATGCTTTTCATTTTAGCTGTCTCTTGAGTGATGTGATCTGTGAAAAGGGGAGAGCTCCCTCTGTGCCTACCTCCAAAATATATATTCCAGGTAGAAATCCCTGATACTGTGAAATGTCTTTCAACACCCAGACAGTAAGGGAGAACTAGTATTTTCCTTAACATCTCAAATAATCACCTTAGTATTAAAAGTTAAAAGCATTCCTACGTTACCAGAAGGCTTGGATTTATAATTCTGATTGAAAAGGGAATGGAAGCTACTTGGGATATGAAAGAAGAGAAAATTTTGCTGAATGACACAAAGTGTTTCACTTTGGTATTCCATGGTACCCATCCTCTCTCCCGCTACTCTTGAAACACCAACTAAAAACTCTCTCTTCTGGATCCCTTTGCACAAGTGCATCACATTCCTTGGATTTCAGACTTAAACCACTTAAAACAACAGCTATCCACTACAGTTCAGCCCATAGCAACTCCAAAGTCTCAAGCAGCTTTTTCTCTGGGAGGGAAGAACTAGGAACCACTATGGACCTAGAGTCTTGTTATGAATTCCTTGGGTAAGAGGGGCACCTCGTGTTCAGTAATGGATCACATCTTCTTAGAGAGGATGAGGAGACCCAGCACCACAAGTGAGGTAACACATTTTAACATGATCAGAATTTCATAGTAGTAATTTCTAATATCGAGGTCAGCACCCTACCCCCCTTTCTCTACCATTATCCACCGCATCAAAGTCAAGGATCACAGTTCCATGACACAAACAGATGCCTACAGAGAAAGGAGGTTTCCCTCATAGCCTGGCTTCTGCCTGAGGACAAATAAGTTCATTTCCCTGCAGAACTTGGTGAGGCCCCCGAGTTGCCCAATTTGGCCACAACAGGTGCCAGTGTAGGCATCACTTTGCTCTCCCGGCATTCCTGGTCATTCCCTGTTAAGTTCACTTTGTGTCCAACCGATCCAACTTTGGCAGCTACAGGTGCCAAAGAAGGCATCACCTTGAGACTCTGGCCATCTGCATCACTGGAAGGATTAGCTACTTTTAAACCTAGAGGTGCCAACTTTGGCATAGGCCTCCACAAAGTATCTGTGCTGCTGTTCTCTAGGCCAGCCTTCATGTGTAGAACAGGAGGCGAGGACACACTTTCAGGCTCTGCAGGGACGCCAGAAGTACTCTTCCCTCCATCACTGGCTTTCCTATGGGAAAGGAGGGAATCCTTTATCTCAGAGTCAATAACAATCTTAAGGACATCTGGCTCAGAGGCTGGTTCAGCAAGTTGTTTTTCGTTCTCGGAAAAGTCATCATCTTCCAAGTGCAAGAGGAGAGGACTGACAGAGTCACTCTCCCCTTGTACATCGGGTAACTCTTTCAAACCAGTTCCCAAGTGGCCAACTTGGAAAGTTGTTCGGTTCCCAGGAGGAAGCTTACTGATAAAAGCCCGTCGAGCATCCCCTGTGAACTCCGTATCCATAGAGCTGGGCAGTTCAGCCAGGCTAACAGAATCATCATTTAGTTGTTGATTAAGAAAGGCAATCTCATTGAGCAATGAAGTCAGTGTCTCATCAGTATCATCCTCATCTTCCATGTTTGTCAGCAGTTCGCTTGGATCCAACGCTGCCTCCTCTATAGCAGATGCTACTTTTCTCAGTTCCATCTCTATACTTGAGTCTTTGAGCTCTTTCATCTTCAATTTATGAAACGTAGACTCCTTTGGCTTCAGTTTCTCCCGTCTAGATTCACACTCTTTCCATTTATATTGAATACCTCTCATTTCACCAGAAATCTTTTTGGGTAAGAACTCTTGTGCTTCTTGCATACTGGAAACATCAACTATCTGTGGAAAACCAGAATCTTTATTTGCCAGAAAAACTGGTGTTGGACCCAATGCCATTCTGCCATCTCTATGGTTGCTTCTGGAAGAGATTCTACCCGAATCTTCAAAGGAGTTATCTTCATTCCTGATAGTACTTTTCAGGTGGTCAGATGGCTTGCCATCAGGAACTTCATGAGGATATTTGCTGCCACCCATATCTACCAAACCTCCTTCTGTGGCCAATGATGTCACATTAACAATTCTTGGCATCATAAATAAGTCGTCATTTTCTGAAGGAGGAAAAAAAATTCGTTCAGATCTACAGTGGTAAGCATCACTCTCATTCATACCCAATGACCAGAGATCTCAGAGCGTTAGTAGTCAAAATTCACCAGTTTATTTTTTTTTTAAGATTTTATTTATTTATTTTACAAAGAGAGAGAGCACAAGCAGGGGGAACAGCAGGCAGAGGGAGAGGGAGAAGCAGGCTCCCTGCTAAGCAGGGGGCCCAATGCGATGCGGAGCTTGATACCAGGACCCTGGGGTCATGACCTGAGTCGAAGGCAGATGCTTAAATACTGAGCCACCCAGGCACCGCTCACCAGTTTACGTTTATCAAGAAGATGAAAGGAATATTAGGTTCAAATTACGAACCTAGCCCAACAAGAAAATAGGTAAAATCTAACCAAAGTACTCTAATATTCTTTGCTATTTTAAGTTCTATTTAATTCTTTTATAGAAATGCTCCCCAGTTTATTTTTTATCCTGGGACAAACATGGATCTTGATTCTATTCACCCAATTAACTGCTACTCTGAGGGTAAAATGAAGCCCTAGAGGCAGCACTGTAGAAGAAAGGATGACCCCTCCAGAAAGGGTTTAGCAGTATTAGTACTGGTAAAGATACCCTTTTACCTTAATAGAAATTTAGGTGCCTACAACCTAAATCATCAAACTGAGACTTCCTTTTCAATTCTACTCCTTTTCCCCAAAAGGGAGTGGTGCTCAAACTGAATCAGGCTGGTAAAGCAGGAGTGCACCATCTCAGATTACAACACAAAATTAATAAATATTTATTAACACCAAAACCTAAAACAATGACTCATCTTCCTTTTACTTTCGTTTGTTTACAATGTTTTTCCTACTTAGAAATAACTAAAACTCACAAAATAGTTCCCAATCCCATGTTTAAAAAAAAAATCAATAGAGCCAAACATGTTATAAAAAGAGGGTCATCTCTTTCCAAGGAAAATGCAAATAGAAGAGATCTTTATCATTACAGAACACATTCAAAGGCTTTCT